TTCATTAATTATGATTAATACTTTATATTAGAAAACAATATGAATTTTTATGAAATCATATATTCATCAAATTAAATGGACGATTGAGATTGAGTTGTATTGGTTGTATAAATGTAAAATATTACATAATAACTCATATATATATATATATATATATATATGTGGGTGTTTCTTATAATCCAATCATAGAAGAAGAAGGTGTAAACCATTATTTATTATTCAGATTAAAATAACATTTTTAGTGAGTATTTTTTACACTTTGTACTCATTATCAAGGGCATCATCAGGTGTGCCACAACCAATATGGCCCGAGGCATCCTACCATATTCAATTTCAAGTGAGGTTGTTGTTCATGAGGAAGATTGTTGGTGATGAAGAAAACTATGAAAGCGAGGACGCTATTGGACATCAGGAAGAATAGTTCATGCCACAACCTTAACATAGATTAGCCGTTACTTTGATATATCTGGCTCAACTGTTGGTATTTTTTGACGCAACTTTTAATATATTTGGTGCAATTGTTGATACTTTTAAGCGCAACTTTTGATATATTTTAATTCAACTTTTGGTAAATTATGCCCATTTGTATACATCTATTTATGCCTCAGAATCAAAGTTTACTTTTTCTCAATAAAATTGTTCAAAAATTTAATCCCTCAAAACATAAAAAGCCAATGGGTTTTTTCAGTAGAATTTTCCCATATCAGAACATGCTTTTCCATGAGGTTTTGAATCCCACATTTGACACAGGAGTTAAATTAAAAATTTTCATTTATTTCATGAAAGTGATAGAGTTTATGGTGTTACCAAACACATTTTCAATCATCATTTGGAAGTTGTAAGCTTTGCCCAATTTTACAATATGTTTGTTTTACAAAGTCGTTGACAGATAAATCTATGTTTACATACAAAATAGGCTCGAAATACAATCCATAACACATAACATTTCGGTTCCAAGGTGTGTTTTGATGTTTATAAGCAATCCGTAAACTTACACGAATCTTGCATTCAGGAAGATGATCCACTGAGCAAATGTTAACTAGAAATGAATATGTTTATACAAGAAACACTAATTATAAAGTTATCAGTCATCAAACAAATGATCAGAACTCATATAAACACAAAGTCTGTGAGAAAAAAGCAAATTCACATGTGAATTATGCTTTAAAGGTATAACATATTCATAACTATCTCATCATCAGTCAGCACTTCAGCAGACAAAATTTGATGTACTAACGGAATCAAGTAACAATTTACCAACTCATTGTGCAAAATCCATCTTCTTCAGATAGAATTTCAGAACACCTGGAGCTTCTTTCTCGTATCTTCTCAATCTATCAATGAATGTGCTCTCAGAACACTTCAACCACCAGCTGAAACAAAAGGTCTTGTTTTTCATCGTTCCGTTATCCAACATATATCGGTAAGCCGAACATCTGGGAATGATTCTTTTGTCCATACTCAACGAAAGGAGCACCGAATTCTTTGCAATGATGGATGTCTCAAACCCCATTTCATTAACAAGAAAATCCATCACCTTATCGATTTTCTCCTCAGATTTCATCATACACCACGGATCAGTCCTAAAAGCTGCCATAATCTCGTTTTTAGACCAACCCCATTTCTCATAAGCCTCGATCTTCTTTTCCCAAGTCGGCTTGGTCATAGACCTAAGTGCGTGAATCGCTAACATGAAATTTGTTTTCAAAGGGTCGAAACCCATCTCCACGATTTCTTCCACAACCATTTTGAATTGTTCATTACTAACTAAAAAATCTCTAGGCTGGTAAGTTAATACATACAACATCTTTGATCCAGGAACTCCAACATCTCTCAAATATTCCATATTTGGGACCATATTTGATTGGAAATCCCAATCCAAAACCCAAGCACACCTCTTGATTGCAATTAGAGTTCTATCATTCGATTGAAGCAAATCTTTAAGTAACTTAAAGGTTGGTTTCAAATGGTTCTTCAAGCTTCTACCTAGAGATTTTGGTCTTGCAGTCACTAACTTAACAATTTCAGCATCTGAAAGTCCTATAGAACTTAAGAATTCAAACTTGGGCAAGAGATTTGTTTGGGGATTACAAGTGAGAGCCATTGGAAACTTTCGAACTAAATGATAAATCTGGGGTTCTGTGAATCCTTGATTCTTGAAAAATGCGATAACAGAGTCGGCTCGATCTGGAGTTTTGAAGTTTAGGTATTTGGAAGCTGAAATCGCCTTTTCTGGAGGAAACCCACATGATTCTATGAGATAAGAAACTGTGAATGAGTGCTGAATTTTAGAAAATTTGACTGAATCTGGGTTTGATGCTGCTGGTGATGAAGATAATGACCGAGCAAACACTCCATGAATCGATGTTGTTTTTAAGACAGAAATCGTTAAGTTTCTGCTGACGAGATTGAACATTGTAAGTAGAAATCGTAATCACTGACCTGTGGATTGAAAGGAGGACGTAAATGCGATTAAAGCTTCTGAAACGAGTTTCCTTTGTAACTCGAAGGAAGAACCTAAAAACAAAACACTGATGTATCAACATTCAATTTTCGACGATGGGATGGAACTAGGGTTTTTCAAGGACGTGATGTTACGACAGTTGGTTGGTAAGCTGACATGTCAAGGAAGTTTTGAATCGTTTATAAAAATAATTTATTGGCTTCTTTTGGTGTGACATTGGTAATAAATATTTATAAGTGTTTGGATAAACAATTTATACCGGTGCTAAACCGGTAATAAGAAATTTTTAAAGAAGTTAAACCCTTCTGATTTATAATAATTTGATAAGTGTTTATATATAAAAACATAAGTTGTTTCAAATAAGCAATCCCAAATGACTTATTTGATAATGTTGATTATGAAAGAATTAATTGAAGATTTTGTTTCGATGAATGTCAGGGTAATAATTCAATTTAAGAGAAAATTGTATGTTACTTTGTCATTTTAAGATATTTTTGTTTTAATCTGTAAGGTTTTTCATATAATATATGGTATAAACTTTTATATTTTTGTTTTATTCATTACTCGTCCAATCGATATATAGTCTTGGTAGAAATGTAACAGAGCTCGAAAAAGATTGGAGGCCAAAAATATTACAGGTTAAATGAATGAAATAACAACTTTATTATAGAATTGTACTGTCTTTTTCTTGAAAAAAAATGTACTTTCAAATTATTTTTTATTAAGACATTGTATTTTGAAAAATCCACTCAATATAGCAATGAATAACTTGTTACTTTTTAAACAAGTTAAGCCTCAATTTTCTTTGTTTACATGGCTTAAATGAGGTGACACGGATGACACGTCATTTTGATTTCATTTAATATGTCAAATCAAAATGAAATTTAAAACAAATATGATATATTCTTTTCAAAATAAATATTTTATCTGTTAAAATACGTAACAACTCTTGTTTTCTTAGTTTTGGAAAAAATATTCTTTAAACATTTTTTTTAAATGTTAGGGAAATAAACTGTGGTCTACAAGTTTTCTTAATATTGTTATATTAATGAATAATTTAGTGTGTTTAATTAATCTAATATATTTATTAAATAATATGTTAAATTAAATTTTATGAAAAGACAATGTTGTAATAAGAAATGTTATATCAACAATATATTATATGTGGACAACCTACATGAATAATGAGGGGGGATGGAAAAGTGGTATAATAGGTAAATTTAAATCAAAAGATTAACCAATGCTATAATAAATTGATTTTTTAAAATACAATGTCCTAATAAAAAATAGTTTGAAAGTACATTGGTGTAATAAGAAAAACTGAAAGTACAATACTGTAATAAAAAAAAACTTTTATAAGTAGGTTGTTATTTCCTGTATTTTGTCTGATATAATATAAGAATTCTAAAATTTATCTTTATGGGTTATATAAAAATTGAAAATATTTTTTTTTTGTGTTTCATAATCTAAAAATAGTTTTATAATACTTAATTCAGTTATTAATTATCTATACTATATTATAAAACATTTGACATAACTCTTAAAAACCATTTTTATGCATTAAGTACTGTTTATTTGAAATACTTTTATATGGAACCGTATAAAAGATTTGACAAAACTCTTAAAAATCAAAGTTTTATTTGAAATACTTTTATATGGAATCGTATGGGTTCATACTTGGGTGTTCTTGAAATCGATTATATGTTATAATTAGCATAACTTGAGTTTTGTTGTGTTATTTTCAATTGATTGGAATAAGGATGACCTAATCAAGAGAGATGTATATTAAGATAAGAGTGACATAATTACAAGAGATGTATATTGGGATAAGAGTGACATAATTATAAGAAATGTATATTGGAATAAGAGTGACATAATTATAAGAGATATATATTGGGATAAGTATGACATAATCAGGAGAGATGTATATTTTAAAATAAGGGTGACATAATCAATAAAGACGTATATTGGGATAATAGTGACATACTTAACAGTTTGTTAAATGAGATTTGATCTTATGTGTATTGTTATCGCATCTTTATGATGCGATGAGATGAACTTATCGCATCCTTATGGTGCGAGAAGACAAGTTATCATATCAATATGATGTAATTAAATGATGTTATCGCATCATTGAGATGCGAAGAGTTGTGTTATCGCATCTAAATGATGCCAGAAAACGTGTTATCGCATCAATGAGATGCGATAAGTTTGGTATATCATGAGTTTGATGCAATAAAAGGGGTTATCATATTTGTTTGATACGATAAGAATGGGTTGTCTCGTCTATATGATGCAACAAAAGAAAATTTGTTATAATATATCTTATTTTTATATAATCTTTTAAAGATGAGTTTTTCAAAAAGTGTTTTAGTGATTTTCATACTGTAACGGCAATCAATGGGATTACTCACTAGACCTTATGATATAATCCTCATTTTGTTTTCAAAAAATGAGTATTACAGATCGGGTTCATGTGGAAGGTAAAGGGAAAGGAAATATATGAAGAGGATTATTATTGTTTTACATCCATGGATTTGTGGGAAGTTGAATTAGTACTTGACCTGTGAATTTGTTATAATCAAGTCATATACTTTATGCGAGCAAAAAGTTTGTAGCTACTTTTATATGTAGCAATATGTGTATATTTAGGTCCAATGTGTAATATTTGTATTTCATATTATATAAAATATGTTGATTTTATGCAAATATGAGTTTTGGTGTTACACTTAATATATATATTATGTATAATGTAATGTTAAAATTGACAAATTTTATAACATGTTCTTTTCTCACTTTTACATTTCTCTAAGTAGTATTTGTCAAAGATATGGCTTTTAAGATTTTTATCAAACATCAGCTAAATCCGTAATATTTTGGATCAAGTCATCTGTAGTTTCATTTTCTATATAGATCGGGTCCCAACACATACATTTCAATCATTGTGTACTCGGTCTTTTTTTCCTAAAAAACCAAGGGACCTTTGGTTCACGGAATTCGAATGAATTTGATGGAATTGAAATGACAAATTCCTTTGAACAAATTCCAATTCTTTTATCGGTTCATTTTCTTGAAATGGATGGAATCCTTCAAATTCCATTGAATTACACAAATTAATGAATTCATCATTCATTGGTATAATGAAAGAAATTGAATTCATCACCACCCACCACGACCATGTTACTATTGTTCGTCATGTCCCACTCCTAACACCCCCCACCACCACTATACCACTATTGTCGTCACCACCCACCCTACCCCACCACTAACCACCATGCCACTATTGTTGCCATCACACCCACCCACCCCTCGGTCACTCACTGCACATCCCTATTACGACCATGCTACTATTATTACTGTCACGCCTCTAACCTAACCTCCACCACCACACCATTATTATCACTATCACAAATGCCACTCACCCACACCGCACCCTACCATAAACCACCACTAGCCATCATGCCACTACTGTCGCCATCATACCCACCCACCATCCCACCATTGTCATTGTCATTGTCACAACTGCCACCCATCCCCACCGCCATGTTCCCGCCCCTAACCACCTACACCACTATTGTCACCTTCACAACTATCACTCACCCCCACCCAACCCAACCCAACCCAACCCACCCCACCACTAAACATCATGTCACTATTGGTCATCATACCCACCCACTCCTAGGCCCTAGCCACCAGAACACTATCCCATCACTATTATCGTCACATCTACCACCGCGCCACCTACCCCTACCCACCGTCCAACCCCATCTTACCCTACTCCAACCCACCACTTACCACCATCCTACCACTGTAGTCGTTACAGCTACCACCGTGCCACCCACTGCCCTACTTTGGTCCACTCCCACCGCCTCGCCCCACCTTGCCTACCCTCCACAAGGGTGGGGCAGTGTTTTAAAAGGGGTGGGGCAAGGTGGTAGTTGTAACGAAGACAGTAGTAACATGATGGTTAGTAGGGCATGGGCTAGGCGATGGATGGGATAGTCGAAACAAAGACGATTGTTCCAATTCTATTGAAAGATTTCATTCTAATTCCTTCCAACCAAATGAGTAGTCAAATTCCATTTCAATTCCTTCAAAATCAAATTTCTTTGATTAATTTCAATTCCATCAAATGAAACCGAACACCCATACAATTCCAAATAAACATTCATGAGATTGTGGTAAAAAGTCAAAAAAAATACTATAATGAATGAATATGTGGTGTGGAAATTGCCATAGCCATAGGGATGGATAGATTTTGCCAATAAACCATTTAAACGGCTTGGGCCCAAACCAAAAATTTCCTGAAACCAAATCACATGTGAAGAATGAAGAACCTCAACTTGTGGCAAATATGCAAAGCTTCATCTGGGAACAAAACCCACTAAACCATTCAATTTCAATTGCATTGCATAAATCTTAGCAAACCTACACAATGGTATTCAATTGAAACCAAGATATTGAATTTTTACAAGCTTTATATCCATCCATATAATTCTGACCAGAAATGCATGCAACATGATTCATCAACCATCCATCTTGTTCTAATTTTCTACATCTAAGTAAACGCCCGCCATTCTTCTGCCATCAACGCCTCCCGNAAACATATATCATATAAAAGGTTTTTCTTCCCACACAGCAGAATGGTCTAGACTCACTCACTACTATAAAAACAGACAGACAGACAGAGAGATCGTGTATATATATCATCCCAATCCTACATCACGTTGACTAACCTGAGCTTGAAGTCTGCTTTGACTTTGACTCACTACCGTTTTCTGAAATTAACAAACGTGGAGGACCTAAATTCGATCCATTTTCCTTAAAAGGCTCATCTTTAGAGGTAACCTGTGGTGCTTGTTTCTGAAGCATCTCCACTCGCTTTAAAGATGGAACCTCACCTTTACAGTACCTTCGCCATATATCCCGATAAGCAGACTCTAACCCAATCATGAATTTGGATCCATTGCACAGAGGGGACTTGGACATAAGGTTCCGCAGATCCATTCTCAGATTTGAAAGTGCCATAACATCAGAAGCCAATTCTAGCGCCAATCGGATATACTCATCTTCACTCTTGGCAACCAAGTGTTCTAATCCTGCAATGACAAGTTAACCAATCAAAATGAATACCTTGCCAGTAAGTAATAATAGACATCATATTACTGTTAACTTTCATTTCCTTTTACATTTCCAATTTGCACTTTTACTATGAATTCTATCACCTACATCAGGGAATGTGGACTCTTTTACAAAGGTGCCATTCGAAGGGCAACAGTTCATAGGAGTACCAATGAAACCTTGATAGGATAACAAAGGTCAAGCTTGTCGTATACTATGTTACTACCAAGTAGTAGCTGATGTAACTTCTAGAATGCACCTAAAGATGGCTGCCTTCAACCAATGTTTAATAAAAGATCCATTAAAAATGAAAGATATGAAACACTAATCATCAATTAAACCCCACTGAGAATACATGGTGTTTAGCCAATCAAATATATGAAATCCATTTATATCTAAAATAACCGAACGTAAAAGATGATGCCGGTGATTTAGAAACAAATACACTGTTGAAATCATATCTCGTGTACAAATATAAGTTAAACACACAGTTTATAAAAGTGTATTTCATATGAACCTGCTCCAACGAAAAGCAACACTTAAATACTAATCCTCCTGATGTCCCTAAAAACTAAAAAGTTTGATTGGACAGAGTTCAAGAGGTATTTGACTATACTCACACAAAAGCACCTTCAATAATTACAACCAAAGAGGAATCCCATGGACTAAAATCAATACCATGTGTGATGATTCAAGGGATAAGAACATCATTTTATCTTGAAAATTTGCCAAAAAGAGACATGTTGCCATTAATTTGGGATGTCCCATATGAGAATTGTTGCAATTCTTGAGACCGACAGAGCACTTATAATGTTCAAAACACTTTTGAAAAGATGGTTCATTGATCAATTGCTGAAAGTCTGTCTATTCACCCTTTTCTTTGTGCAAGAAGGCAGAATCTGCGAATATGGAGTGAATCAATGTTTTCAACAGGGATCACCTTCCCCTAAACCAATTTTTAGGATGAATTGGTGATAGCATTTGGGATTTTCATGGTGTCTACCTATTAGAGCACCCCACATAGTCCTCCAACCACATGCAGGTCCCCATCCCACTTCACACCCATTCCATCATTAACAGTGTTGAGCAACTACCATCACAATCTATAAGTTATGTCTAACTAAGGTTGATTCCTATACAACTCATGCCAGAAATTAAAAACATTATGCAATAATACAGTATATAAACCCCACTAACCACAAAAATACTTTGGTCAAAGTTCTAGGACTAAATATAATTGCAGGGGCCTAACCACACTCGATCATCCCTCATCTGTAGGATCAGAGAATATCCATGTAGAAAGAGAGACAATCATTGAACTACAAACCTAGAAAGAGAGACAATCATTGAACTACAAACCTTACTAATCATCCAGAAAAATCAGCAAGAATTGTATTAAATAACAATGCGAAATCAAGTCAACTTACCAACTGCAGTTAAAAGGCTCACACCAACGTTATGTGCATGTACTGAGCCACCCATGGTGACACATGGAACTCCCATATAAAGGGATTCACATGTGGTGGTAGTTCCAGCATATGGAAAAGTATCCAAGCTACATAACAAGAAAAAAAGATAAGAGGTTAGATAATGGTAGACAGTACAAAACGAGATTCAGATACACTATTTCGTGAGTGGAAGAGAAGTGAAGGGAAGGGAGAAAATCAATAAAATCAAGTAGAGAAATCTCGGAGAAAACACGTTATGAGGAATTAGAGAGGAGATGAAATTATTCACTTCCTTCTCTCCCTCTTTTTACAACCAAATAGAGACAAAAAAAAAAGGCTCTTAATTTCTCTCCCCTGTCACTTAAGGGGAGTTTCGTACAAGTAAAAGGGAATTAAAGAGATGGAACCATTCCTATATTTGGTTAGTATTGGAAACAAGGGATCAGAGATCTTTCCCATTCCATTCTCTTAATTCACCAAAAAACGGAAAGAAACGAAAAGAAACATTGAAATGAAAAGAAAACAATTCCCTTTCTCATCTCCAATTCTTCCCGAGAAACATGAAAAGGCGGAAAAAACTAGGAATAGATACTTCATACTTGAGGTCACATGCAAACTGCATTCCACCATAAACTTTCTCAGGTTAATCCCTGTTGGTATTGCACAGCTTAAAGAAATTCATTTCTCCCAGTCCATGGCCTTTCTCTGAGTTTCCATTCTTAGGGGCCGTTTACTAAATGCTTACGGGGTAAGCGCTTACTGATATCACTTACCTTACTGTCTGAGCATGACAAGGACTCAGAATATTACCCAATAAGAGGCATAACATGAACCGAAAGTCTTACCCGGTAAGTGAGGAAAAAGACTTACCAGGTAAGCGCTTACCGAGTTTAAGACGCTTACCAACAATCCATTTTTATGGCCGAGAATGTTACATGATAAGGTAAGTGATTGTAATTTCTCTTACCAGTAAGTGTTTGGTAAACGGCCCCTTAGTGATTCCATCAACCAAGCATCCCCTCATTTGATATTTTTTCATTACCTCCCTAACTTCATCGTCAAACAGGAACACAATTTTTTTTGCAGTAAACAAATAAAGTCGGCATGCAGAATCAAGCTTATACACATCAACAGTTTTACCAGTGAATAGTCGTTCAGGATTATAGAAATAACAGTGCTGGTATTTTGCGAAGCTGGTTTCTATATTTTAGCAATGACGATCTTCAATTAAACACAAAATCCCCTACCAATACTTCCTAGTGCAAGGATTCCTAAGGACCTACGCTTTAAAAGTCAAATAAACAATTCCCCGTGCAGACTCAAATATATATAGAGTGATTGGTTCACAAGCAGTATTTGTCTAATGACAAATCACATCTCCTTAGTATCACAAAACCGACTGTGATTGGAAAATCCAACAGCTGGAAATAGTTCTTGCAGCAGCAAGTTTTATTTCAGCTGTTTGACAATTGACTACCTGATTGGTAGCATGTGTTTGTGGCTTACCCAGCACTGCCTATAAGAAACCCACACGAGAAGTAATGCCTAAAGAAGAGTTCCCCACAACAAGCCCCAAAATGGGTCCTACTGCTGGACCCTACATTGTGTGGGGGGAGGCATCTTCCTGGAGCATCGATCACCATGTTGGATAAATCAAATGCTACTATGCCATATATAGATATCTATATATAAGTGCATACATTAAATCCACTAAGAAAACAATTCTTATTTGTTCAAAATTTGGTCCATGTTAAATCCCAAAATGCTTAGGTTGAAAGAGGGGGAATAATTAACTGGTTTTCACACTTCAGAGATGAAAAAGAGGGCCCACGTAGCACTTAATCTACTGCCAAATGCATAATAAACTTTGACTTCATCGCAAAAGGCATTCTTTTGAATGCCCACAACAATGAAATTCTAGAAGTCAATCTATATCCAGTGACCCTACAAATATTCATTTCACTTGAAACAAGTTCATATGCATGTAACTTTTTCCCCCAATAAACCTATGCTATATAAGTGTGCCAATATGCAAATATATAGTTTGTTGAAATAGAAACTAAATACGTACGGCATAGCACAAGAAAATAACCAAAAAAAATACTATATAACATCACAGCATACTGGAAACAAAGTATTCAAGAGATTCTTGCTCAAGTTAATTTTTCTCTTCTTAATTTGGTGGGGGGATGCATTATAAGTACATGCAGTACTTATCTCAACATGCTAGAAATAACAGAACGAAGGCATAGAAAAACTTTATAATGAATGTCAAGGGCCAAGTGATACAAGCATGTTATCTCTTCTAAACTTATTCATCAGAATGCATGAAAAAGAATTGAATAATTTATATGGAGACAGCTTTACCTAATGTCCATAAGAGAATATGCTTGCATATGGTCATGGTTCAGTAGAATCAAGGGCAAAAGATCAACACGTAATGATTCCAAACCCAACTGCTCCAATGTTGAGAGAAATCTCTGTCTTACACTATCACAGCAGAAAGGCTTGCACTTCACAATAAGCCGAGAATTTGGAACTGCGCATAAAATTTTGGCCCAAACTTGAAGCACTTTCGGAGTTATCTGATATAATGTACCCAAAGTAAGATTTTCATGAGTCAAGAGATGTCCCTGGTTTGTCAATGGAAATAAAAAATATGCAAAAAAATTCTTATACCTTCGCTAAATTGTTGAAACTACCAAATGTAATAAAGCCATTGGAAAGAGCAGGTGCTGGTGATGCAGGACCAGCCTCAGGAGATGGTGTATAACAAAGAAAGCACTCTGGTAGCCGAACTAGGTCCTCAACATGCCTGACAGCAATACATACTTCCATAGAGTTCAGTATCCCATATTTAAAAAAAGAACTTACTATATCAGGGCATAATAATTTAAAAGAACACTAAAAATGTACTTCTGCTTTGTATCAGGAGGGTCAGCCAGGGCATCAGTGATTCGATAGTCAATAGTAGGCAAACCAGTGGTATTTGGGTACCCAATCCAAGTCACCTATCAGTAAACAAAGCCAAAAGATGTAAGCATCATGTTGAATATAGAATATTTGCTTTAATCATGTTTTGTTGATGTATTATAAAGAATTCTTCTACTTCATAAATAATAAACGATCACATGAAGTGATTTTATATAAGCAAACACAATAATCATAAGAATACATATTTTACAATGCCAAAGCAAGGTGCTCCAAGTAAATGGCTACTGCACTTCATTAAAAATATATGAACTCATGTGTAAATGTGTATGCATAATCTGTGATAGATCTTTCTGACGTGTTATCAAGAATAGAATAATCATCTTGATGAGGTCATCATCATAATCATACCTGAAGAGGTGCAGGCCGGCAAGCCATCATACCCAGCTTATTATTAGCAGTATGACCAGTAAGTTCCACCAAAATATCAACTTTATCTTCTCGAACCATGCTTGCAACCTTCTTCTCATCAATTCCATAGATATCTCTCCATATGCCACCTCTTTTTAAAACTCTATCCCTGAACTTAATAGTTTTTGCATCTGCCTGCAACATGTACAAAAGATATAATTACAGTGACCTTTTCCAAATAAAAAAAACATTAGGTGCTTAAATGGCATGTAGACAAACACCTACCTTAACAACCGCCGAGTAAACGACTACTTTATACTTAACATAGTCGTGATAGATAAGAGGTGCTTCAATGAAATACGATACGGAGTGCGTAAAATAATCAGGAGACACATATCCAATTACAAGTGGTCTTTCTGGATCTTTTGGATTGTCCCATGTAGTATATTGAGGATATAATCTCATGAAGCGCCGGCCCCAGTCCCTGCAAGCATATAAGTCATCCAAAAAAATTACAAAAAATCCAAAGCTTAACATGGAACAGCATGGCTGATGATGTAAAAAACCCATAGTTTTTTGTTAATTTGGGAAGAAACAAACTAAACAAATGATTTCTTAGACTGCACAAGTGGAAGTCCCCATGGTGATCAGAATTGTCAAGATAAAAAAAAGACAACTATCATTCTGTAAGATTAAAATCTAAACTAGAGGAGTTGGATCCCCTGGTCCACTATAAAGTTTGCGCACAACATTCTTAACCTGGGCAGTTCCTCAGTACTCCTTTATAAGGGTGGGAGGATTGTATACTTGTATTATGGAACAACAAAAGGAATCCAAGGATTTCTATCTCTGGGATCAACCTTCGGTTGCAAAGATACCTATGTATAAGAGGATGTTCTCTAAATTTAACCCGATCAACTGATCACCTAAAAGTAACCTTTTGAGTTGCCCAAGGCTCATCTATTTGATCAAACAACCATCACAAGTAATGATGATGGATGTTTGTTCTTATGTTTGTTTTTTAATTTCAAGCGTCAACATACATTATGTCCTAATCTATATTGAAGTGGTAAATTTTTGAGTGAGGAACTACTTTCTTGAGTCTCTGTGATAGCATCATCTTTGACAATTTTAACTTGGGATGTGTACATGGCCTGCAGGCTCAAAATCTTGAAGTATGGAGTCCAATGCAAAATCTCAACCTCAAACTCATGCTCCAACACTAACCAAGACTCGGACATTATGAACTCAAGTCATAGTAAAGCTTAACATCAAGTATTGTTCCAAGTCTATCATGCTCTACAGATAAACACTAAGAACACCGAATAAAAACATATCACTAGCATTGGTGTTGTTAAAGTCATAATTAGGCTAAAACACCATCCCATCTGCAGCCACTCTAAAGGACTCCTAACCTTCTATCCATGGTTTTAAATAAGAGTAGAAGTGTAYGCCTTGAGGCATGTCCAGAACTGCTTTTCAGGCTACGCCTCACATCGATGAAGCGCCCTTGAGGCATATGTGTGATGAATTTTGCAACTTTCAAGGGTTTTTTGGGCACAGATCGGAAGGGGTATGTGTGTTATAATAGGCCTCCAAAAGCTTTTAGCAAAGAATGAAGCATATAAGCAAGAAATGAACACAAATATCGTCTCCAGAAGTCCCAAAAATTGCCTCTCCAAGCTGGAAGTAGACAAATGATCCCAATAAAAAGAAAGGAGAAGAAGAAAGGGATAATATGGGGAAAATTTCGAATGGGAAGAGATGGCTTAATGCTGCTACCTTGCTAAGAGCCCACTAGATAATTCAAATACTTAATTATTAAAACAAACAACACTCACATCTCACCAAAACATTATGCTCATTACAGGCAAAACGAACACAACCATCGTTGACCATGATTGGACTAAAATAAAATTAAACACATCAAACCACAAATTTAATGAATTTAGTTATCTTCTCAAGACTTATAACTAGTAATTTTAAGATTTTTATGGCTTTCATAGTTTGATATGGAATTATGCGTTGTTTTGTTTTTTTTCTCGAGGCTTACGCCTCGGGGTTTTCGTCTTCTAAAACCTTGCTTCTATCACATGCAACTATAATACATCTCCCATCTGCCAAGAAAGCAAGAAGAACCAGAGCAAGAAGAACCAGCCACCAAGCAACTGGGAATTAACTAAAGTAAATGTTAACCATTGGTTCAATGTTTGTATGTACCTGCTACATCCACTAATGGGGACCCATGTTTCACGATATTTGAGCATGATAGCCAACATGCAGCTCTCTGGTGATGCAATGACAAAGTTATCAAAAGAGCCTCTAGGATGAACCTAACTTGTAGTATTTCTAAGATTCATGTTGAAACCATATGAATGTAGACCCAAACAAGAAGTCATACACAGTATATGTTGCAAAGAAACCCCTTTGCTTATGCATGTAAAATGGCAGTATTATTTTGATTAACCTTCTTTATTTAACACATGCAAAGAATATGCATTCCACATATGTAGTGGTTAAAAGCACCTGTGAGCTTCAAATAGTTTCTCATCTGTTCCCTCGTTAATGTAGTTCATCGCAAGTAATCGATTCTGCACAAATAGTCAACGTACAGCAATAAGAAGAACGTAGAATTGAGCTCACTATGAGGTAAAAGAATCTCTAATCATCTTCATACAATGGGTTGATTCAGATAAAATCAACAAAATTATGCATTGAACTAAAAGATATACAACTAACATGTACCAAAATTACGGTCTGCCTGATGTGTAGTAAGTGAAGTTAATAAAAGAAACACTGACACTGTTTGAGCTAAATAAACTCATATAAATCTGCATCTTTTTAATTCTATGGTACAATCTCCCTCGCTAACAGTGAAAAGAAAAGCCTTTCAATATTTAACATTAGGATATTGTTTTGTCTGGTATAATAGTGGAATAAACCTATGTTCAGCTTTACAAAAAAGATCATTATTGCAAAAGATAAAGCCTCTGCATCATGCTCAAGCCAAAATGAATACACCAGCATAATTTTTTAAAATTTAAAACCTATTCTGTCTAAAAAGATTCAGATTGCTACCAAGCTAGAAATGGAATAGTAGAAATTGTTCATAATTGTTTATTTGATAGAGAAAGCTTAGAAACTTCACTCAGAAACAAGGCTGTTTACAATGCTGAACACCCCTAGATTGTAGAAATTTGATCCCCGGACAAGATATTATCCTTCAATAGGTTATAAGCCACTTTTATTCGTTTATTTCAATTTGGTTACTAATTGTAAAAAGAACCCATTCGTCATGTGTTTTAAAAAAAAGGAAGTAAGCATCATCCAAGGGAAATTAGTTTAATTCAAATGTTGATATGAAGCTACAACTGAAGCATTTGAGGGACCAATTGATGATAATTTCGTTAATGAGAAGTTGAGTTTTTCCTCATGTATAATTATTGCACACTAGAACAAACAAAACAAAATTGAAGCTTATTGGAATGTTGCACATACAGAAAGTTCACTTACCCTCTTCAAAGTGCCAACATAATCTTCGCCATAAAGTTAGAAATATACACAGACTGGTTTTTCTTTAGATTTAGTAAGAGCAATATGGCAACAAATTTAAGGGTTGTTTGTTTCCCTTTTAATGAACCATTTGGAGAATTCAATCACTTAATTTCTTCAGAGGTCTATTAAATAAGAGTATCTGTTTCACCATCTAAATGAGGCATGGTGATCTAGCTTTCTCCTAGAGATTTATACATACAAGCAAATTTAACCAATAAGAGCAAGTGTAGTTTTGTATTTGACACATACTTTTTCCTCCTTGATACAAAGTAAACCCTTAAGTTATATTTTTTCTATTTTGATTTTTGTCTTTATTTTTCTTCTGTTTCATGTTTTACCTTTTTGTTTTCCATCTTCTCTTTTTATTTTTATTAACTTTGGTTTTTATGTTATTGTGTTATTACTTCTATATAACTTGTTAATAATTATGTGTTTAAGCTTTTTGGAATGAAATACTTTATATTTATGCTATAGTCAAACTAATATACACATAAATAATTATTATTTCAGCTTTTAAACTAATGTAATTGTTATTTTCATTTAAAATTTCCTATATGTTACTTATACCAACATCCAAGAATTTCGATGTAACAATTATTTTACTTTTACATAAGTTAAGAATGACACTACATATACCAACATTCGAGAATTTGTGGCACCATTTCATGGTACAATGCATTAGTTTCATATATTATTAAGCAGTGATGTAATAAGATTATTCAACATTTATCAGTAACAATTATCAAACAACATTGTTTAAAAATAGTTTAGAGCTTTGAGTTAGTAAATTTCTATTATTAAGATGTTTCATACAGAATACCCACCGAACGATATTTGTCATCCAACACCAATTCTGTACATAGCATCTAAGCTGTTCAAAACTAATCATCTAGCACTTCTTCATTCAGTTTTACTACACACAGTCTAAGATCATATGGTTGGTACTCTAGAACAGTAAGTACTGATTGATGATTATCAGAAGCCCTTATGTCCTCCTATGCGGTTACTATGAACTTACTTTTGGCACCTCCATATATACCAGGTGTACATCTGCTTTCTCAATAATGTAGCAAATTTCTATACACTCAATATGTCTATGACATCACTTCTGTCCTCCTATTTCTAGTCAGATCCTGATCTTACATTTTTTCCATCTTGAGTATGATCTGATTAATATGCAAGCTATTATTACCACAACTCCTGTCCATGGTTTCTTTTTGTAGAAAAAGATGTGAGCTAATATTGTCTCTCCTCATAATTACCTTCTCTTCTCCAAAAGAAAAGGAAAACAGTAAGATTCGGGCTAGCATCTGTGGTTGTCATGTATTTACTCATACACACTTGCATGGCTCATCTCAGCTCCCATCGGAGCAGCATAGTGTTTCCCACAATACTGCCAAAAGTTACAACTATGCACAGTAATGGATCGAGACTCCCAATTAAATCTCCATTTTAAAAAGTTAAAACAGCAACCCTAGTCGCCATCTTTATATCTGGTTTACATGTAAGTTTTAGGGAACCCTAGGAGAGCCGCCGACTCCAACTAGTCCATGTATGATCCATAAAGATCATCCCCATTAAGGCAAGATCATCCCATTAAGTTACAACTATGCACAGTAATGAATCCAGACTTGCATTATATCTCCATTTAAAGAAGTTAGAATGATCATCGCCATTAAGTAAAAATCATGTATACTCCTTTTTTATTGCACTCCGGTGAGTTATCCCATAAACCTGAATGAACTATGAACTAGCAAAATATTCACAAGTATATAATGTTACCTGGCCTGCATTGCGAGAATCTAGGTCTATCTTAAGGCACTGCTCATATGCTTCAATAGCCAAAGATATACTCCCAGCATCTCTGTAAAGAACCCCTACAAGTAAAAATTTGTAGTAAATAATGCATAATATAATAAATATCGAAGAAAGTAAAAAAAATACATATTAAAAAACAAAGCTGGTATGTTGGCCGCTAGTAGCCTGTCAAACTCTATAAAATTAACGGTATCCAGATACACAGTGGCTTGGTATGATCAGAAAGTGTATTTCACACAATTGATTTGCACTCCTAACTGTAACATAAATAACACAACCAAGTTTTCCTACAAGATCCCTGTTGAGTAATTTATTATGTCGGTAATTGCAACGAGCAAAAAGACCATCTAATTTCTACCGAAACTTTCATAACAAAGCATCCAACCACATATTTTAAGAAATGGAATGAACCCAAGCTGAAAAATTATTCTACCAAAGCTCTGTACAAGAACGACTACAATCTGATAAGATAGTTAACTATTACAATGTAAGATTATGTTGGAACAAAACCTAATTACTGAATTAATAAGTAAACATAGGATCAGAGAAGACCTCCTCAAGCTCATGCAACAGAGTTTACTACAGAAGAGGCAAGAGAGAGGGGGAGAGAGAGAGGGGGAGACCTAAATTATTGTAAGCTTCCGCATAAGTGGGATTGGCCACAATTGCTTTCTCTATCATGCTAGCGGCAGCATCCATCTTACCCTGTATATTATTAAAATGCAATCAATTAATAACTGAAGCATATCATCTTGTTAGACACTAACAGATTAAATTGTACCTGCACCGTGTAGACTACTCCAAGGTTGTTCAACGACTGGGAGAAATTGGGTTTAATTGACAAAGCCAACTTCAAAGAGTAACAAAAAAACATTAAAAAGTTAGACCAACATGCACACGACATGTAACAAGCATACTTGCGATTGCAAGAGGAATTACCTGATAACAGTCTACAGCTTTATCAAGGTTGTCACGATCTTTATAAATAACTCCAAGATTATTGCATGCCTCTGCACAATGGGGATTGAAGTGGAAAGCAAGTTCATAGAATACAATTGCCTGCACAGAAATGGGAGCTTACTACAATTTCTATGCTTTAACACTGGAGGAAGTAAATGATTTGCACCAAGGAAGAAACGATCAGAACGAACTTTTACAGAAACCAACACAAACGCACTCACAGATTTAAGGAATGATAGACAAACTAGACGACAAAGAAAATTGATTAAAGATAAAAAGGTCGGTGACTGGGTCTGCCCGTTAAACAGAAACAAAAACACACACAGACAGATGGGAGAAGATGAGGGGGAAAACACAAACAAACCCATCAACTTACCATTTCAAACTTCAGCATTTCCCCATAAGCAACCCCCAGATTGTACATGGCATCTGCGTAATGCCAGTTATAGTACAGAGCTCTTTTGTAATATGCCACGCCTTGGTTAATATCTCCTTCCAATTTGACCTGAAAAGATACCATGAGTATAAAGAATAACTAAAAGAAGAAGAAGAAGAATTGAAGCATGTGATGTGATCAATAATCTTATGATGCCTTTATTTCCTTCTGTCGCCTTTTAACTTGTAAGAAGGAAGTTTTTTACACCATTTGATTGCATAAAGTGAGATTTATAAATGTAACATTCACCCTGTTCCATTCTCCAATTTGCTATACATTGTGCAAAAGCAACCTCTAACCAAAAAAAATTCAGCTTCAATGAATGCTCACAGTTGTATAGGAAGATCAGACTTGTCAAAATTATAGTCTTGCTTACTAGCATACAATACATAAAAAATGTGCCGGATTTATATATCAAAGAAGAGCATTGAACAAAAATCAATGATGTGCTAATTAATTTCTGGACATGGCACAGGAACAGGTAAGATATTGTGAGAGTTTTCAAACTTTAGCCTACAAAACAGTTAAAACCTCACTTGGTCGTAATTTAAACCACCCCCACCCTTGGACCCGCAAAATTACCTTTGTGCCTAAATCTGTCAAAGCAATTGCCATGTTATTCTTAGCAATCTCAAAGTTTGGCGACACAGCCAGACACCTGAGAAAATACAAGAAAACCACAAGAACAATTAGCAAAAGAGAATAATGGTTACCCCACTGGGCAATGATAAATTATTATTCATTACCTCTCATAACAAGCAATAGCTGACTCCAAATCTCCACGGTTTTTATAAATTACACCCATGTTACAATATGCTTCAGCGTACATTGGCCTCTCCAAAGCAGCCTTCTCATAGCAATTAAGTGCTGTATCATATTGCATCATTTCTGAATATACAACGCCAAGGTTGTAATATGCAGGCTGCCCAGGAAAAACCAGGAACATCAGCATTGAGAATACATTAAATGGAAAGAAATCTTCTCAAGATGTACAAGGAACATGAAATTACAGCATAGTGAGGATCAATCTTGATAGCATCATAATACTTCTGAATTCCCTCCTGGGTGTTGCCAGCAAGCTTTAAACTGGTTCCAATATCTGTTAGCACAATGGACAGGCATTCTGCTGCTGGCTTGTATGATGGATCTGCCTCCAGAGCCTTACGGTACGACTGCATGAGCGAATAGCAAACTTAATATATAACATTTGGCCAGTAATAAAAGCAGTGAACTATAAGTCACGAGTGTGATTCACATGAAATGGTTCCTACAGGATCCACATGATGCAACTGAGAAAAAGAATAGTCTGATTACTAATGCAAAGCATGAATGACGATTTGGATGAAAAATAGTGTAACAGGCCCATGCAAAGGACAGATGTAGGCTAAGCAAGGTTGACTTAGACAAAATAACTTCTTCAAACTATAAAAGTATACATTTGTACATCAAAAAAATATTGTTCCAGAAAAAAGAAGTGTTGAACTGGATATAAATTAAAAAATCACTCAACGAACTGGATGATCTCACCAAAAGGTGGTGTCACATGTTTACAGAAGGATGGTGTCACTCGACAACCCTGGTTTCAAATCTGTGTTGTCTACCTTTCATATTTATTATTCTAAGTCTTGTGTAGCCATAAAATGAATTATTTACGTTAAGAAGATGGAAGACTAAGCATACAACTTGTGAGAAAGTGGCAGCTATCATGTAATTTTTCACAAGGAAAAAACTAATAAATGAGAACAGTTTTAAACATAAAATATCTTGATGACTGAAGCTCTCGCTACTTAGTTGACAAAACACGAAGTTTACAAGGTAATATCTTTTTAAGTTAAGCTGAGGAACGGTAAGGTCAATATCAAGGGGAAACAAACTACATGGAATGAATCCCTACTTGGATCACCATGGCTCAAAGAATAAGGAACAGCATTTTAGGGAAAAAGTAGCACTAGTTGATCAGTAAAATAGGTTCAGATTCCTGTATGTGTTCTATTGTGTGACCTAAAATCATGGGCACATTTGAAGATTGCTTACAGGGAAACAAGTAACAATCTAACCGAACACATAAAAATCTAATCTCCAGTCGATTAACCATGACATCACCAGAACTTTAGTTTGGCTAGCTTGATATATCTCATTAATGCTGCATTCTTTGAACTTCAGATATCACCTTCTAAAGATCTCAATTTTAGCTACACTACTGGCTCTCTCATAAATTAAAGAAGATAGCATTACTTGACATGATACAGGTACATGACACTATTATTTGGTTAGTTGCACAGACAAAAAATGTGGAGGACATATACATTGATACGCATGAGTGACTTCTGAATGACTGCCACATGAACTTTTAATATGTAGAAGATATATAGAGGTTGCAATCAGGTGTGTAAGATTGGTCTCCCCAGACTATCATGTAAGGAATCCATTACTCAAAAACGAAGACTGTTTGTCAAAATAAAAAATCCATCAAATGAATATAACCAAGATTTTAACAGCATATAAAATCATTAGAATAACGAATGCTTCTCTTCATATAGTAACAGTATTAAGATCGACACAACCATACCTCAGCAGCCTCCACCAATCGACCTTCATCTTTATACAAGATACCACAGTGGGTGAGTGCACATGCATTTTGTGGGTCTAACTTGACAGCTTCAGAAAAGCTCTCAAAAGACTGTCTTCCCATATTTTGCATCTGTAAGCAAATTCCTTTGCCGATATGGGCCTCAACATTTCCATTATCTTTCTCTAGTACACTTTCATATATAACAAGAGCTTCCACGAATTTGTTTCTGGAGCGAAGAACATTGGCATAACCAAGTGCATCCTTCCCCTCGTAACTCTTTTCTATTGGATTAGCAGATGCCATTGAATTGTTGACACCTAAGGACGGCTCGACTGCTTTCAGGAAACCATTATCTTCAATTCGACCCTTCTCTTTCCCTCCTCCAACGTCCTTCTCTGTCAATGCCATAGTGGTATAGCTACAAACTCAGATACCTGAACCAATCGCAAAAAGTAAAACATCGTTGGTTTAGAAACTAAGTATAGAGCGCTCGTATGCCACAAAGAATCATAGAGATAGTGAGATACCAAAGAGCCTTTGGCCTAGTGATATATGGGTACCGGTAAAGCCAGCCTCTTAGAAGGTCTGGGATTCAAAACCTCACCAAAGATGAGAAGGGTGTGTGAGTTCATTTGCCGTGTATAAATATTATATACTTCAAATAAATCATACAGATTTAACTACCCCCCACAAACCTTATGTACTTCAAAAAAATCATATAGATTTAACTACCCCCACAAACAACCTTCTTCATGCTTGATTCCTGCCCCCCCCCCCCCC